CTCTAGTGTAGGATTTCCTTTTACTCTCTGTACCAGAAAAAGAAAGAAAATATTTTCCGTGTCCCCGCCTGCAGAGTCAGTGTGCGGTTTGGGAGAAAATGTGTCGGATATTTTGGGGCGGTCACGTGGGCGGGCGGGCTCAGAGAGGCCCCGGGACAGTCCCAGCCTAGAGCCCGTGCCCCCCCCAGAACCCCCCATTGCCGCGAGCCCCTGACACTGCGACGCCGCATCCCCGCGACCGCCCGACGCCGGGACCTCGGGGCTCCGCGGCCTCCCTTCCCCCTCCCTCCCCTCCAGGTGAGTCAGGCGGGGAAGCAGGCTCGCCGCCGCCCGCGGACGCCTGGGTCCCGGCCGAGGTGGGCTGGGGGCGGGGGCGCGGCGGAGCGACGCCGCTCAGTCGGTGCCGCGGCTGCTCGCGTGGTCCGCAGGGCTGGAAGGGCTTCCTTCCCGACTTGGGGGTCAGCCCCGATGCGGGAGGGAATGGGGAAGATTTAGACAGGCTGGGGCTGGGCTGGGCTTCAGCAAGGCTTCATTGCGGTGAATAGTGGGGAGAGCACTTGGGGAAGAGTCTTCAGCCAGGGGGTTTCTAGCTTACTTTTGTGCTTTGGAGTGTGAGGGAAGACAGGGTTCCCTCCTGTGTGGAAGGACCTCTGCTAGCCCTCCATCTGGCTTCCCCAGGGGAGTCTGAGGGGTGGACTTCTGGTCCAAACTGGTCCAAGTTCCTCCTTCCCCAGTGGAATGGCCCGGCTTGGACATCAAAAGGGCAAGAGACATCCAGAGGCAAGTGCTCCCAGCCGTCTGGGTCCTGGAGTTTGCAGAGACAAGTGGATAGGAGAGTGGTCTGTGAAGGTCCCTTAAACTGCAGTTTTGTATTCCCTCTCACTTATCCCCAAGCAGGGTGTGAGTCTTGGCTCCCTCCAGCCAAGGATGGGGGCTCCTCAGGAGCATTCATGAGGGGAGCCCAAAGGGAACAAAGGAAGAGCAGGAAGACTGGGGCAGGGACCTAGGAGTCCTAGTCTAGGAGCCCCACTGACATGCTTCTCTGTCTTCAGCAGTTACAGCCCAGTCCCCTCAACCTGACCCAGTATGTAGGAGGGAATCTCTGCAGGTGGCCAGAGGGTAAGAGTATGCATGGTTGGCGGGGGGCAGGGGAGCCTGAGGAGGGGTCTGTGGGGTGAGAATCTGAAATGACTGTGCCCCTTCAGGGCCCATGTCCAGGGTAGCTGCAATCCCAGACCTCAGGTCTGAGGCTCCTGCCCTGACTAGCCCTCCTCAGATGCTGAGTGTGGGTTGAGGACCAAAGGCAGTGTCCCATATCCTTGAGGCAAGAAGAGAGAGGAAGGGGGTGGGGGGCAGGAGGCAGTATGTGCAGGGTGCCTGGAGCTTGGGTGTCCCAAATAGACATAGACACACACACACACACACACACCCCACACGCATGCACGCATACACACTGTAGCTTAAAGCCTGGTAGGCAGTACAGGGCACACACCCCCACCCCGGCACACCCCCACCCCTGGCTCAGAAAGCCACCTAACTGGCACCTCCAGTTCCCCCCTCTGCCCCACCCTGCCCGTGCCCTCCATTGCCCACACACATTCCACTGGCATTGCCTGCCTGCCTGCCTGCCTCCTGGGCACTGCCCCTCCCTGGGGCCAGTGGGGTGGAGGGAGGGCACCTGGGGATGAGAGGTGGAGACTCAAGGGTCTGGACGCCCCCAAGGGTGGCACGAGGCCAGGGAAACCCAGGCCACTGCTGCCTCCTGGGGAGCAGGCTGGGGCCCAGGCTAGAGCAGAGGATGCCTGGGTTCTCCGCCCAGGCTGGGGATGGGGTCATGGAAAAAGGTGGTCGTGTTTATACAGAGGGGAGGGGGGCAGCGGGTGGAGAGCAGCCGACAAGAGCAGCTTTGTTCGGGGCTCTAGAGCGGGCAGGGCAGCAGGGAGACGTGCTCCCCCCCATCCGGCAGCCCCCTTCATCCATGCCCTCCCTCAACTCTACCTCAGCCCTAAGAGAAGCAGCTTTGTAAGGGCCCCTTTCCCCTAGTCAGCCCCACCTCCATCTGAGGTGACATCTTGGGAGGAGAGAAGGGTTCTCTTCCTTCCACAGGTTCCCCAAAGAACCAAGGCATCTGGGTCTCTAGTGTAGGATTTCCTTTTACTCTCTGTACCACTGTCTTCAATCCCTTGGTCCCTTCCTCCGCCCTGGATCTAAGACCCTCCCCTTCTCTTCCCAGCCAGGGCAGAGGAACCAAGGCTCAGAAATGGGTGACTCTCTATTGCCTTCCCCTCTCCACTCAACTCTCAAGTCCCTTCTCTGAGGCAAAATAGGAGGAAGCCCAAGGAGAGCTGGGCTGTCCTTCACTCATTATAGCTTCATTCTTCAGTAGGGACCAGGAGTCTGAGCATCCCTCTCTGGGACACCGGAAGTCCTCCTGCCCCACACTCAGGTCTCTGCTTCCCATCTGTAAGTGAGAAGCGAAGACAGTGAGTGCTAGAGCCGGAGCCTGGGGCCCAGTTGAAGGCAGTCGGAAGAAGATGGGGAGGGGGGGCTCTAGTAGCTTCTCACCCTTGGCATCGGAGGGGTTAATCCACCTGGAATGTGGCCCAGCCTGTTGAGCTATGGCCCAGGGGCCTCTGGGGCCCCGGACTCCTGGCTCCACCTGGGCTTAACCAGGGATGAGGACTTGAGGGAATAGGGGAAGGAAAAGGAGAAGGACCCTGGGGGCTTGGGGCTCAGCCTTTTAGGCCTGGGGAGACATTGGGCTGAGGAGTCCGAGGCTCCTGGGGATATGGGTGATGGCTCCTGAAAAGCAAGGGTTGTCATGCATCAGGACTGAGTGGAGGGTGGTGGTGCTGGGGTCTGAGTTTCTGTAACTTCCATGACAGTTTACCCTCAGGAGTTTGAAGGCCAAGGTAGATGAGAGAGAAAAGAAAGAAGGGGAGGAAGGAAGGAACGAAGGCTAGAAGGAAGGAAAACAGAGGTACAAAGATGGAGAGATACTGGTCCTGGAAGCAAAGACTGATGAAAAGAGATGCAGAAATGCCTATCACCTACCTCTGGACCTGACCACCCCATAGTCTATATGTGTTTCACTCTCAGTCCTTCTCTGTCCTCTGCACTCAGTCCATTATGGTTCTGGCTGGTAGAGGAGGTACCCAGGCTGGGGTGACTCTCCTCCCCACTAACTCCCCTAGAGTGGGCGGTTCTGGGGCTCCTGGGAAAGTCAAACTTTCCCTTGTCGGAGCATCAGGCAAGAAACTACTGCCCAGCCCCAGGATTCCCATTTCCTCTCTCCCTCCTTCCTCTCTCCCTTCCCTGGGCTCAGGTTAAATATCCTGGGGCAGGCTACACTTGAGGGAGGGGAGGTTGTAGAGAGGGCTTCCTGGAGGCAGGGGGCTCAGAGAAGACAGAGAAAAGGAGATAGGGAAGTAAAGTAAGGTGAGGGCGAGGAGAGGAGCTGCTCTCTGGAATCATACCTGGCACACAGTGGGGCTTCCATCAACATCTGTGGATTTGAAGGAGAGCATGCAAGACAGGTTTGGGAGTGAGGGATAATTGGAGACAGAGATAGAACTGGGAGAGGGAACTGGAAGAGGGAGTATTGAGGAAGGTAGAGACCGAAGGCAATGCTAATTACAAGAGAGGTATGGAGGAAGAGAAGGTACAAAGAGAAATAACATGAGACACACATAGCACTTAATATGTGCCCATATTATTCTAAACACTTTACATATGTGAAACCATTTAATCCTTACAACAGCCTTATGAAGTAGGCCCTATTATTCCTAAGTGACAAATGAGGAAACTAAATTCAGCAAAGGGAGATTAAGTAACACACCCAAGGTCCAGGAGTGGTGGGGATGGATTCAGGTAGCACAGCTCCACAGTCAGTGTTCCTAGTCACTGGACCACAACTGCTTTTCAGAGAGATGTAGGGCCCCAAAGTTACAACAGAGATATGTTTGCTTTCCCCAGAGTGGTAGAGAGTTTAAATAGTCTTTTTTTTTTTTTTTTTTTAAGTTAAGTAAGCTCTACGCCCAACATGGGGCTTGAACTTACAGCCCGAGAGTTTGAATCCTGGCTCCACCATGATCTTAAGCCAGTCACTCGACTTCAGGTTCCTCCTCTGTGAAATGGGAATCGTAATGCCTACTTCACAGGATTGATGTGAGGGTTAAATCAAGTGTTCAATGCACTTGTGCTTAATGGTCACTTCTCAGCTTAGGGGTTCTCTCTGCCAGGAGTCCTAAGACCTGAACTAGTTTACCCTTCTCTGGAGAATTTTTTTCCCTCAACCTGCGTGAGCTCCTGCCCTGCTTCCTACCCTGTGGTAGAGGGTCCTGAGTCAGGGCAGAACAAACCTTAGAAGCATGGAGGGAAAAGGCTCCAAGTGAGAGAGGGCCACAGGGCTTGGAACATTCAGGTGATCCTTCTCTTATCCCTCCCTTTCCTCTCTTTCTCCCTAGGACTCTTGGAGACCCAGTGGGCAGGCCAGGAAGGGCGGGCACGGAGCCTCCCAGGCTGGGGCAGTGGGCATGGGCGGGGGCTGTGGCTGAAGACCTCCCCCGCCCACTGCAGACCCCAGGGGATTCAGCCTCCCTCACCGCAGCTGCCATGGCCACCAATAAGGAACGACTCTTTGCAGCTGGTGCCCTGGGGCCTGGATCTGGCTACCCAGGGGCTGGCTTCCCCTTTGCCTTCCCAGGGGCTCTCAGGGGGTCTCCACCTTTCGAGATGCTGAGTCCTAGCTTCCGGGGCCTGGGCCAGCCTGACCTCCCCAAGGAAATGGCCTCTCTGTGTGAGTCTCAGGGACCTTGGGGGATGAGGGCAGGGGGAAGCAGGAGGACATTTAGAGGGTGGGTGCTAGAGAAAATTGGCACCCTAGTTAGCAAGGTGGGCAGGGTTGGCGGTTGGATCTAATGGAGTAGGGGGCAGCGGTTGTAGGAGGGGGTTTGGACGTGGAACAAATGGCATTGTTTGCAATGACGACGCTCCTGCCCCAAATGCCTAGCATGCTGGGGTCCACAGTTGCCTCCTGAGTCAACTGGCAGGGGAGAACACTTTGTATGGGCAGCCAAGGTTGGGTTTGGTGAAGTCTGAGGCTTTTGCTTATATGCAGTGGTGGGTACAGGGGAAGCAGCCTGGGGAGTGGAGGGGTCCGCAAGGCCAATCAGCTGACTATGATCGAGAGGTGAAATTGGTGAGTTAGAGGCAGGCAGCACAGAAAGGAAATGCAATAGTGCCAGGGGCCCAGAGATGTGTGGGGCCAGGGAACGCTCCTGTCGGTGCTGGGGAGGGTGGAGACAGCTACAGAGAAGGTGGCTCTTGCACCCTAAGTAATCCAGGGAGGTGAGGGGCTGTTCGAGAAGCATCCTCTCCTCCAGCCATGTGAGTTCTGGACTCCTCCCCTCCCTCTGGGTCTGGCATGGTGCCCACAGGCTGTGCAGATCCCTACTTGTCCCTCAGGCCTGCCCTCTTTGGGTTAAGCCTTTGAGTGCTGACAGCAGACAAGTCTTAGGCCTCTCCTCTTCCCTCTGGATCCTCTTTCCTCCCGTTTCGTAGTTGGTCTTCTTGACCAAGCCATTACAGGCATGGGTGCCCAGGAGCTGGAGCGCTGGGCTGCTAGGTTCTGTGGGGTGTAGGGGCAGCATGTGAGCAGGTGTAGAGAATCCTCTCCTGGAAAGAAGGGGAGGTGATGGAAGGAGAGGCACAGAGAAGGGCAGAAAACCAGAGGCTTAGAGACAGAGAGGGACAAAAAAGAAAGATAAAGACATCCTTTATAGCTCCACAAGCTCAGGGAGAGAGAGGTAGGAGAAGAGGGGCCCTGCCTTTAGGAGGGGCACCCGGAGGGTTGTGTGTATGTGTGAAGGGGTGACTAGATGGGCTGGCAGCTCTAGTGGAAAGAGTGTGCTCATCTGGAGAAGGCGTGTGCGTGTGCACGTGTGCACGCGTGTGTAGACCATATGCAGTTCTGTATGTACAGCATGTCCTTGAGACTCTCTGCTCACATACAAAATTCCAGTGTGTGCAACAAAGAGTCAGTGTGAGGAGGCGATATTTAATAGGGCTTCTGATGGTGTGTCTGGTGTTTGGTGAGACCTGCTGGTGGCATGTCTGTAGATCAACAGGGGATATTTGGGTGGCATGCAGGTGAACAAGAGAGCACAAAGCCCCCTTTTTGGAAACCTCAGCCGGGCTTCCCCTACCTCATTTACACCCCATGAATAGGGCCTGAGGAGGGAGGAAGAAAGCACCCTTCTCTGTGAATGTACTTCTTGCAGAGAGCCATACAACTCAGTCCCCTGGGACTTAGTTTCCCCAGGTTCTAGGAGTAAGGAGGGAGAGGAGAAAAAGAATGATCGTGGGGGAATGCTGAGAGCCAGTGGCCAAGTCCCCAGGGAAGTTCTCCTGTGTCCTGGACACACTGAGGTCAAGGTCAAGGATCAAAGTAAGGTCAAGGTAGGGGAAGGGGTCACACTGGGCTCTATCCCTCAGGGCTGCCCTGAAAGAGCAGGGGGAGGGGAGACTGAAAGGAGACATCCAAGGGAGGAGCCAGAACCAGGGCAGGTAGCTGGGGAGGGTGTGGCTGGCAGTGGGGGACAGGCCTGGGCAGAGAGGTGCTCGTGGGGTGGGGAGGAGGGGAAGGTTTGGGTCCAGAAAGCCTGCCTGGGAGTGGGGCATGCAGCACCCAGTGGTAAATGAGAGTGAAGCAGAGGGGAGAGGAAGGGATCCCGGAGTCTGGGAGACCTCCCATAGTAGGAGAGCCGCTGAGGGGTGGAAGAGCATAGTCTCTCATTTCTCTGCCCTGTTGTCCCTTTTTGCCTGGGGCCACCCAATGGAGAGGGGTTGGAGGCCTAAGTCTGATGCCAAAGCCACACTCACCTTGAGCCTGTGTCTCTCTCTACACAGTCTATGGGAGGGAGGGTGGCCTATGAAGGAGTCTGGAACTTCTCCCTGAGGCTGCCTCTTGGATCCTAGTGCTGGGTCCCTAGCATCTTGGAGACATCCACGTTGAGAAGGGAAATCTTGCTCCACCTCTTGGGGTACTCCAGGGGCCTGAATGGGTAAGGCAGGCATCTCAGAACCGTGTGGTGGAGGAGAGGAGGGGGATGGGAGGAGGGCATGTGCTGCGGAGGCAAGCACAGGCCTGTGCGCATGGGAGAGCAGAGGTGTGTGTGTGCGTGTGTGCGTGTGTGCCAGTGTATGCGCTCACACATGTGCGTGAAACCCTGGGATCTGTGTCTCTCTGTCTCTCTGTGTTTATCAACACTGATGTGTTCTGTTTGCTTTGTCAAGACTATAGGGAACAGAGTGGGATGGGAGGGAAGGGAAGCCTTGCCTTCTTTCCCCTCTTGAGGAGATGTCTGCGGTGTTGAGGACCTAGCCCTGTTTATCATCTGAACTTGGTGACTGTGTCCCTGGGGCAAGGAGCCCAGGCTGCACCTCACTAAGTCACATGGAGAAACTGAGGGCAAGCTGGCACAGGAAGAAAAAGAGTTCTACTTGAAAGAAACTGAAAAAGACAGACTCGGAGACCTAAGCGAGGTGACAGAGAACTACACAGGCCAAAAGGCACAGACCCAGAGAGAACCCAGCTGCTGGGAGAGCAGGCGGGTAAGGGTGGCGAGCAGGCGGCAGGGAGGCCTCGTCCAGGAAAAAACCCCAGCCGACTGCCTCCTTCCCCTCCCCTCCCCGGTCTCCACTGCTCAGGCTCGGGCTCCAGCTCCAGGCCTACACAAACGGGGCTTTGATTGCAACAGGAAACCTCTCCGGCGGGGGGAGCTGGGCAAGCCGCCGCTGGGGCCCAGGCTGCACCCCCCTCTCCTGGCCCCCTACCCGGTCCCAGCCCCCATCCTGCCCAGCTCCTTCCTTACACCCCAGCTTTGGGCCCCATCCCTCATTCACACCTCCCTTCTCTCTTCTGCAGCCCCCTCCTTCAGAGACCCCTCCCCATCGCCCTTCAGGTGGGACTCCTAAGTTAGGACTTAGCCTCGGGATGTGGCTTCTTGCTTTGAAATGCCCCCTCTTCACCTTTTTGAGGGAAGGTTTTGGAAGAAAAGGAGAATTTAGCATGAGGAATTCAGAGCCACTTATTCTCCAGCCCCATCCAGAAGGTGGCAGGAGGGGGGAAAGGAGGGGTGCATAGGAGTTAGCTGTTTCTTCCTCCACAGTCCCCTGTTGGCCAAACTCATCCTTGCCAGGGTGGTAGAGGCTCTGAGGGGTGACCATACAAGACTCTGAGTGCTAATGACCTTGTTAGTGGGGGAGGGGTGCACTTCTCTGCCTCTGGGGTCTTGCCTTTGTGGGACTCGAGCTGGGAGGGGTGAACTGTGGTGGTGGTGGGGATCATAGATGGGGAGGGGGGTGAGTCAGGCAGCAGCCCCCCCTCATACTCCCACCAGGCTGGTGAACATCTGGTTCCCATGAAATGCTAGAAGGCTAATGGGTCTAATTGCTGCAATAAGGGCTGGGGGGGCTTTGGGGATAAGAGGGGGCACTAGATTCCCCCGTCCTCTTACCTTCTCTTCAAGGCTGTGCTAAGACTGTCTAGAATGGGGGGGGGAATTGGGGTTGACGGGAAGGGTGGGCCTGGCACTCTAATGTCTTGTCCCTTATAAGCCCCCCTCTCCCTGCAATGCCTGGGAAGCACACACAGATGGGGTGATGAGGAGTGGGGTGCATCTGGTGAAGAGAAAGGGGGGCTATTGAGGGCTCATGACTTCCTGGAGCCTTCCACCCCCCTCCTGTGCCCCACTCCCAGCCCCCCTCCCTGTGGCCTGGCCACTTCTGGTTCTAATTACCAACCAGGCAGGCCTGACTTAATTGGGACCTTTCAGATTTCGGAGGAGGAAGGGTGGGGGGCGGACTGACAGCCTGGAGTTGACTAATCAGGGCTCTTTTCCCCCTGGTTTTGGGGGTACTTCCCATTTTATACTTAATTGATTTTTTTTTTTTTACCACTGCCCAGATTCTGATTCAGAAATCTACCATCCCCCTCCGTTTTTTTGTGTGGGGGGCTGGATTCAGAAATGGGGTATTTGAGGTTGGGGGCAAGAGCCGGGAGCTCACCCTGGTTTGGAAAGAACACTGCCTTCCCACTTCATCCCTACTTCAAGCCCCCCAGTCAGCCCTGCCACCCCGCGCCCCC